TGGAAAGAATTACCGTGATCAATGTATTAGCAATAAATACTCTATAGTTATCACTTTAAGAGTTAACACTGCTAAGTTCATTAACTGGCAGCTAAAGGACATTAAGGGAAAACAGAGTGATGGGTGATTTGTTAGAGACAAATACTTTCTAAATTAGTGGTGTTCTTTAGACATTATGCGCACAGAATCCAGAAAATGGACAACAAGGACAACTGCAGAGAAACTGGAATCAAAGAGGACACAGGAAAATGAGATGAATTGATTCCCTTTATTAAAATTTTATTCATGGACACTATAAGCCCCTTTCCAGCACTGCTGTCATACCAGTGAAACTTCTTGAACTTCACCAGTCTTATATCTTCTTCTGCAAGAAAGCTCTAAATTTCTCAGTTTTGCTGAACTGTAGGATTGTTTGTGAGTATATAATATTGATGATGGTCAAATCTCTGAACTGAGATGTAGCATCTGAGGAAAACGTGATCCTTGCATTGATTTTTCCAGTGTAGAGTTTTGAGATTCCTTCATACCACTGTGTGACTACTTCTCAGTTGAGGCAATAAGCTAGAGTTTGCTTTCAGCTCTGCTAATAAACACAAACAAACAAACAAAAAACTCTAATTTTCAAATGACTTCCACAAAAAAGTGATTTGTGCTGCCCCCTAAAATCCTTCGGATCAACTGGAAAATAAACATCAGTTTTTCCTGTAGCTGACAGTCTAACAGCTATGACTCCCTTGTAGTTACTTACTAAGAAGAACTAACATGTTTATTTTTAGCTCTGTTGTACAGAGAGTTGTAGGTTAGTTGTTTATCATCTCAAGTGATTTCACCACTGGTCTTGATTTTCTGAGGCTGTTTTCAAAATGTTTGAAAAATATTTATAAATCAGCTGTATTGCAAATATTGTTTTCATTGTAGAGCATCAGTCAGCCCTCTGTTTTTGAAGTCTGCTATTGTAACTACTGGATATCTTTAAACTCTGCTACGTTGCCTACCACTTGAAATTCATTAGCTGAATAATAGTGACTGTCATTTGCTTTCCAACTGTGTAGGCTGATGATGGAAGACAGTACTGAAAGGCTCTACCCAAACACAGCTTTGCACACTTCAATAACTTTACAGAGTTACTTCTGCTTTCTAATAGTGTAAACATGAGCATTCAGCCCAAAGAAATTCAGGCATTGAATTATGACAATTCTAATGTTCTGTTAAACAAAGAATTGTCACTTGTTTTTCTTCTCAGGTGATTTCTGCTGGTCGTTTAGATGAGGCTGTTTTCTAATCACATCAGGTCTGATTTCAGAATGGCAGTGCAAGATAGGCATTTCCAAAACTTTAGCTGAAAACATGAGCAATGAAGATGCAATTTTTGTATGAATGGGAAGAAGAAAGCTTTCATTGCAAGGGAAGTGGTTGAGGAATGTTGGTATACAGAATTGTGTCCAAGAGAGGACAACTCTTGGGTTGAGCCACTAGATTGCGTTTTAAGTTCAGCATAGTTCTGTTTCATTAACAATGTTAAAAACCTCTCGATTGGGTTCCCTGATCTTTCACAGTTCATCAGTGATCTTGCATAGGTTGATGAAAAGAGAGTCTAGCTATAAAGGCCCTGATTCAGTAAAGCATTTGAATTCCATGAGAGTTAGAAAAATTACATTGATCCCTGCACTTTGATTATTGCTGTTGAAGTATGTTTGTGTGCTTAAAATCGGAGTGCTGTGTTGGGTGGTGGTCAACACTGAAGTTTCTCTGATCAAAGCAAATACAGGTTTGTAATTTTTAATCTTGTTTAAACAGAGATGTTTTAAACAAACTAGATACTAGAGTTTCATATTCAACCCCATGTTTTGGTTGTTTTGTTTTCCTCCATCTTAAAGATCTAATTTTGAATTTGTTAATTGTCTTTAGAGAATGAGATACAAAAATCTTTTTTTATTATGATTATGAGGGTATTACAAATTTCAAATGTTTCCTAAACTCTGCTCTAAATTCAAAATAATATTTAGCATTAAAACCTTGAGATGATATTTCAACATAAATCTAATATATTTGGTTTATTTGTATGTTTATGAAGTTGTTGTTTATAAAATAAAGTAAAAAAAAAATCCTGGTGTCTCTCTTATTTTAGTAGAAGAGAGTGAAAAAATGTGGTTTTGGTCAAACAATGTCGTGTTTTTTGACAGCTCCATTGGTTTCATATAGCTGCAGTATAATGTGCTGATGAAGCATTTGCACATATAACAGGTTCTTCTGGCAGCACTTAGAGGATCTGTACTGAGGAGGATTATATTCTACAGCTCTCAGTTAGATACTGGCTTTAATAAAGTAAGTTTTTATCTAAGGTTTTAGTTACACAATTCCCAAACCTGTAGAAGCCCTGTGACTAATTCCCTTGTACCCTACTTCGTAAGTATTCTATTTTGTGTATATTTTAATGGCTCTATTTATGAATATTGCCGCTTGTATGTCTATAAATGTTATCTGTGGTCCCAGGATATATTTTCAAGCTCTTGTTATTCTCAGGCTTGATTGAATCCTGAAGGTACTGTATTTTTTTGGTTATACACTTTTTTTTTTTTAGTATCTTGAAATTGAAAATCTTTTAAAATTTTTAGAATTTTGTGTATGTAGTTAGCCTAGTATCCTCAGTTCCTAGTGTTATTCTCTCTCTGTGTTTTTTTTTTTAATTGAACATACATTCATATTGAGTTGTAAGAGAAATTTAGAAACATGATGGGAAAAAGCTTGGCAAGCCCAGATTGAGAAATCTATTGGAGAATTCTGAAGAGCAGTGGAGAAAATGGGTTTGTTTAGTGTAGTATTTCAGTTCTCTAAAGCCAGGTTTTCATCATAGACAAATGAGGAATGATTCAATCTCCTTCGTAATGCACGTAGGTAATGCGATGGTTCCTAGTCATAAGGAATGTATGACTCACCTCAGTTTAAGTCCTTATTTGCCGTCATTTGCAGTTTTGCAGAATTTTATCAATCCAGCCAAAAAAATCCATCCTGGGAGTCTGTTTTAGAATAAAAATGTTCACGAAAATTCTACCAAAAAAAAAAAAAAAAGTCAGGACGGATTAGGGGAAGCCTCTATCTTGTTAATATATATTGTGTTTTTGTCCTTTTGGAAGTCATTTTATCTCGTGTTATTTCAGGATGATGCCTACACTGTTCAGTTAGTCTTCAGTACACACTTGGTGTTACTACTTTGCTGCCTGATAACTTGCCATCTTTATCTCTGGAAATGTGAAAAGAAAAGATGTTAGTGGCATTAGAAGCCTCCCCTTGGATCCCCAGGAATGCACCCCAAACACAGTCTGGAAGGATGATAACGTAAGTTGGCTCACTTTGCTCTGATCTTTTTATTAAGACTGCTGTTTAATGCTGGTTTTGATGTGGACCAGGAACAGCCAACTTCATGAAAACCATTTATCATGGGATTAACTTTTAAGCACTCCTCCATACTGAAATGGACTATATTCAGCCCAGTGAAAAGCCTTAGTCCCTTCTAACTAGCCTAAATATCCTATAGTATCAAGGCTTGCGACCTTGACTTTTGAGGCAACTCCTGCAGTTATCTTAAAGATGCTGTAAACCCTTTTGTACTGGAACCCTCAACACTGCTGCATAGAGGTAAAAATCTAAAAGCAAGCAGGTGTCCTCTCTGCCTACTCCCTTTGCTAAGGCAAGTGGTTCCAACTCTTTCATTCTACTAGTTACCAGCAGGAGCTCAACCAAAGCCTACAGGGAATTTCTGCTCTCAGAGATTGGGACCATGAAATCTGAGAGCCAGGAAAGAAGTTAGAATATGACATCAGGATGAATTTTAAGAACACGTCAGGACCAGATACTCTTTTTTTTTTCTTTTTTTTTTTTTTTTCTCCCTCATACCCATGGCTGCATGCCACTGTTCAATTTCAAAGCCTCCAGCTTTAAACTGCATACCTCCCTGGAGCTTCAGTTCATAGTCAGTCTTGTCCACATTACCTCTTAGTTTCTCTGATTGGCCTGGCTCTCACCATGTGTCTGTTAGGCGTTGGATCCTGTCTGTCAGCCACTTTTCTATCTGTGTAGCAATGTTCACCTTACCCCCATGGCCTTATCCAAACCAGTTTGGAATAATTTTAAAAGGAAGTGAGAGACAGAGTGTATGGGAGTTTCTCACTTTTATATTAACTGTAGTGGGAAGCAGAGCAGCTGGAGTCCAGGTTCATGAGTAAATCTCTTAAGTAATAATATGAAGTAATCAATTAAAGGCCTGCCTAATAATTTTGTAAAATGATTTGCTACTCTTGCCCATATAGAATGGAGATTTATTTAAAGAAAATCATTTTGATTTTTAGTTTTATAGCTCAGCAATTTTTGTGAAGTTCTGAGCTTTTTGTTGATTAAAAACAAGTCTTACATGCTATATTTAGCTGACAGAACAATGTATATATTTTAAGGGACATAATCTTTGTTAATACAGATATTGCAAAAGTATACTGCAGTAAATGCAAAGAATGCACAGTTAATATTTTGTTAGCCTATTTACAGTAGTTTTTATATACGAGTAATGAGTGTGCTATGTATAAACGTTTTTCTTTTTTTCGCTTAAGAGAGTGAATTATTATTACTGTAATAGTCTGTATGGAGGCTTGTGGGTGACAATTAGAAAAAAATCACCTAAACTCTACTGTCTTGTTGCAGTGCACCCCCAAAATATTTCAACTAAGACTTTAACAGTCTTTTTGCTATTTGTTTTTTTTCTTCTTGTCTACAAAAGAAAGTTGGGCCAAGTTCTGCATAGCCTCTATGCAGTGTGTATGCCAGATAGTGAGTTAAGAAGAAACTTGTATTTTAAATGGTTTTTGAGAGGCAGTCATTTCAAAAGGGAATCAATAAACAAAATATAGTCAGGTGCTAAAAATT